GGGTATTTGTCTCGTCTACCTATCTTCAGAGAATGGATACTCAGGTTCTCGCTGCTCTTTTTCCCTGTGCGTATTCTGCTAATGCTGGCTGAGCCGCTGTATGTGTACCCCGCATCTCACTGTTGCTTGCGTCGGCCTCTTTGTTGAGCCTGTCTGTCATCGTGACGCTAGTGTCTGTTTCATCCCCACCTGCGTTAGTCATCTGTTGTGTCGCATACGCATGAGTGTCCTCATTTTTTGTCTCATCTACCTTCTTTCATTTTCTGATCCCCTTTCTGCCCCAACTGATGCGAACGTCCCACTGCTCTGTGTCTTGCGTAGCCTTTACACCAAGCACCTGAAAACCGCGTAAGTCTCTGCAATCCTTTAAAGGGAGGACGTGATCAGCGGGAGATTAAAGAGTGATCACTGCATGTGGTAACAAATCCTTTAAATGTTCTGGTGGATCGAAAGTTTCGCATATATTGTAATAATTCAATTGCTGGAAATATTCCGCGTTATATTTAGCTGAGATTTTTGAATATTATTAATGACGGAACTCGGACTTAGGTGACTTGTTTGTACTTCAGCTTATATATGTTCATGCATATGTTGGTAGAATAGTATTATTTAGAAACAGAAAGGAGACTGGAATGCCAACTTTTGGTTTATTGACCCCTATCAACCAGCCACAGCCAGCCCCAGGTGTTGCAGCATCCGAGGATTTGTTGGAAATCCAACGGCCTTCCTATTGATTCACGTGCTCGTTGTCTTGTCGGTTGCGATTGGTTATACTAAAAATGGTAGGGGGAACCTAGGCCATCGCATTAACGGACGCAATCCTCTTGGTGTGTCTTGTGGTTCAGTCTCAATTCAGCCAGCAGTCTTTCATTGACATTAACGGTAAGGAGATATTAAGTGTGGGAGTAAGGTGAGCACTAGGGTTACCTTTAGGGTTAGGTTTAAGGTCAGAGTCGAGGTTAGAATCAAAATTATATTGAAGGTAAAGGCTTATGGTTAAGGTTATGGCGCAGTATTACGTTAGGGTTAGTTGTAGATGAACGTTCACCGACCGCTAACGGAACTCATCTGTCCCGCTCTACCTAAGATCCCATTTCTCTGGTCCTGACAGCAGCCGTAGCGGCTAGTAGTTTAGACAGATAGTACTGCCCGCAGTGATGAGGCTGAAATGGCCATTTCTGGCTTACTAGCCGTTGTCAGCCAGTCATACCCAATCCCAACTATTGCACCACCCGAGGCTCGAACTCGCGACCTTTCTGATCAGGGTCTAATGTTCTGCTGCCAGGGCTTGAGAAATGAGAGCCAATGCAGAGCGGGACAGTTGAGTTAAGTTAGCAGTCAGTGAAAGTTC